TCTTCACAGTAGCCAGAACTGAGGAATAGGGTAGAGAAGAGAAGTCATATCAGTTCTGAATTATATGCACTAAATACTAACTCTCAGATGAACCTTTCTTATCTTCACACCATTGACTTTTTCTCTCTCCTCAATGTACCCAACAAGGACACTGACCTAAGAAATATGTCCCACCCAAGTACCCAGTACCACAGATTTTTCTCCTTTCAATAGACAAGTAGCAATTCAGAACATGTATTCCAAATATATCTCCTGACCAGTCCTGTTCTGTATTTGCAAATGTGAATGCACAAAAAGTATCAATAGATTATTTGAAGATCATTTAGTATAAAAACACTTGAATGAATTGAATAAATAATCAAGAAAGTGAACACAGAAATAATTCATGTAGGACAAACAAAAACACATAAGTAATAAATCTTAAAGAAAATTTTAAAGATATCATATCCCTCAAACAAGAACAAATTGCTGTATAAAAGGAAGGTTTGTTGCAAATAAGTTGACTAGGATAATCATTAATAGAGTTGAATAGTAGAATAAAATTAAATAACATGAAGATTAAGTCAGACACCTGGAAGACACATCTAAGAAAAATCCACCATAACATAGATCAAAAGACAAAAATGAAAAGCATAAGGCATTTCAGAAGGGGGAAACAGATAAAAATAAAAGAAATTATTAAAGAAATAATAGAAGGTTTGACTCACTGAGTAAAGACACTTAACTACTATGTAGGATCAGGTCTGAAAAATGTTCAATATCTGTATATATTCAAATAAGAATAAGGATTGAAAAAGTCCTAAAAATCTGAAATAAAAATAGTTATCTACAAAGAGAAGACAATGAAATATACATCAGCTTTCTTATCAGCAATACTGGATTTTAGATAATATGTTTTCAGTGTTCAGGGAAAGCATACATTGCACTTGGAAAAAACATTAAAGAAGAGTTACAAATTCTAAATATTGTTTGCTGCTCTCTCACTTTTAGAATCAGTCACTTGACTAAAAACAGTAGACTTAGTTATAGTTAGAAAACAGAAAATCGCCATTATAGTAAACAATCATTAATACAATTTGTATAGTAGGGGTGGGATAAGGAAAAATAAGTTATTATAGAAACATTGGATCTCCCAGCTTTCAAACTGAGAAGCCAGGAGTTCTATAAGTTGGTAAAGTAAGATATGGAGGAATATAAATTATATGTTTATCAATTTAACTGTAAAAGATAAAAAATGGACGTTGCTAGCTGTGAATAATTCACTGGGGGCATAGAACTGCACTTTTGCATGGTATATAATTTTTCATACATTGTTTTATATATATACACACTTACATATGTACACACACAATACAAGGAGGCAATGGTTTTTGAGACCAACCTGCTGTTTAGGTGGTCTTGGGGGGTGCAGATGTGACTTTGAATTGCAGCACTTTAAAAAAAAAAAAAGGTTTTATTTATCTATGCATACAGAACTGGGGTATAGGCCTGAGGTGCAGGGGTGGTGAGAGCATTCACCAGAGACAGAGTGGGGAGCAGAACAGGCCAAATGATGAAGTAAACTACTGAGAGATGGGTCAGGAGAGGTCTACCACACCATGTGGGTCACCTCCGGGGTGGATGGGGATTGAACTCATGCTGAAGTGGCTTTAGCTTCTTAGTGCTCTGCTTTAACCTGCTGCGCCACCAGGGAGGGCCCAATTGCAGCACTTTTAAGAGGACAGAGGTAAGCAAATCATTGCATAGACAACGTTTAGGGATTATTAGGAAGGGACATCCTTGGCACTCTAGGTGTAAGATATATGTGTGCTCCCCAGTGGAAGGCACTAGATGTCTCAATGTGCCTGGCATGCTCTCTTCTAGCCCTGTGCAAGTTTCCCTGCCCATAACGCCATGTTGAAAGATGAAGAAAGCAGTACTGAATTTGTTTATGAGGATGGCCAATGACAGGTCTGCAGTGAATCAATAGCCTCTTCAATTGTCCACAGTGTGACCTGTTACCTGGAGTTTACAGAACTCAATTGTATTCCTTATCTTCAGCATTTGACTTCTGGATATGTTAAGATTTGGTTGGAAGTCAATTTGGTTAGAAGATGTGAAAAGGTTAGCAAGCAAACTCATGAGTATGAGATTTCTGGAGTCCCTGCGTCCACAGCTCTCCTCCAGCTTTTTTGGTTCAAGATCCTGTCCTATTGTACCTCCTGTTTTCAATTTCCATCTCCATTGTTAGACCATGCTTAACCTTCCTATAACTATTTCATTTACTTTAGTTAACTTGAAAACGATTGCTTGATTTAACCAAAACCAATATAATTGAAAGAGAAATCTAGAAATTATGTTTGGTGTATCTTTAAGAGAAAGTAGGTCGGGGGAGACTGCTGTCCCCTGGGTTGATGGATCAGTTGACCCCCTTTAGTAATACCCAGCTACTAGCACAAGAATTGGTTACATGAGGCTGAGTTTGTTTTACAAGAAGGGTCCATTTTTTAATTACTTTTTTTATTATTATTTTTAAAAGGATTATTGGGCTATGGGATTATTGGGCTGAGGTCCCAAACATTTCTTAAGGACTTAACCTTCTAAATTGGAATTAGGAAAATATTTAAAAGAAATAACGTAATGTTGTCTTTAATGTAACCCTGTTCCTGGAGAGTCCTTCTAGGAGTCCTGAGAAAGACCAAAGCAACCCCTAATAGCAGGGTAACGACCTGACACCATCAGCCAGGAATTGGTTAGCAGAACTGTTAGGCAAAAATCACACACAACACCACCAACAAGCAAAGCCTCTATCTATGTAAGTGTGATGGGTCATGACAAAAACAGAACCACTCTGTAATCCAAACCATCAAAATGACCTAATATTCCTCTATCTACATGGGCTTCATTCAGTTACTCAGTCTTAAAATCATAGCCCACTTTCTGATAGCATCCTGTTTAGAGTAAAGCCACTTTCTTAATGCCTGAATCCTTTGCCTGTAGTCACCCAAATGCTTTCCCAATAAGTACTTTCAATTTTTCTAGCACTTTTTTTTTCTTTTTCTACTGAAACACCTCTCTTCCTCCCTCCGCGTAAAAGTAAAAGCCCAACTTGTTCAGGAACAGATGTGTTCCTGGTGGTGTTCAGCTGGACATTTTGACAGGTCTCTGGAGTGTCACATTTCTCTGCTCCACTGCTATTATTACCTATCTCAGATCATCAAAGAACACACTTCTGGACTAACTTTTCTGGACCAGATGAAATACCCATCAGTGTGAACAAGTACTTATTACATTTGAGGTGTTTTATATGCATTAGCTCATTTGATACCCCCGTAAGACTGTGAGTGAATAGGCTAAGAACCCTGCCCACTACTCATTCACAATGATGAAACTGAGGTACAAAGATACAAAGTAACTGAGTCAGGAGTCCAAGGCCATCAATTGACCCCATGCTAGGCTCCAACGCTCATTTCACAGTGCCTTGGCCAGCACTGTCCACTGCGTGCTAGCTTCATTGAGCAGTGTGCACTATTGCTGGTCACTGGGCCATCTGCCTGCATGGAAGGGCAAGCAACAAGCAGCTCCAGGAAGTCACTGCTGGGTTTCCTGTAAGATATGGGAGAATGCAGACCCACAGGAAAAAGAAAATCACCCCCTAACCACTGTAACTTTTTATTCTTCTTCTAAACAATTGGATTTTTTTGGGCTTTTTCTAAGCAATTGGATTTTTTTTTTCTTCATGCAATGAAGATATTATCGAAATATTCAGAGCTTTCAACTTCATTTAAGAAAGTTATGGGTGATTTTAAGCTAATAAACCTAAGATGTTTTCCTTTTGTTTTGCTCTTTCCATTTTTGCTAATGTGTCTATTAGTGCTATAACTAACATCTCTTCATCACCCCAGGAAGAGGAATCTGAGTCACCAGGCAATAAATTTTTGTCTAGTATGATTCCAATAGCTTCATCTTATTTATTTTTCTATTTGCTTTCTATCCAAAGCCAATGATACTGATTTTATATTTACAAGTGATATAAAGTTTCTTTTAAAATTAGTTCAGTAAAACTTTGAGTTTGTTTAAAGGAAAATGTTAAGGAAATAGTGATATAGGAATTAAGCAAAGAAACAAGAGTTGAGACAGTGTTTCCGGAAACCCTGATTTCAGCTTCCCCTCTACTTTGGATGTTGAAAAAGAACAGACTTTAATTCATTAGCCACTGATGTCAAGATTGTATCTTCCGGCTATATGAATTTCACCTTCTAATCTAATTCCTGCCTTTATCTCTATCTCCTCCCTCACATTCCAGTGTTCTTATCTTGCTACCTTATATACTTTCAGAAAACAACATCAGTGTGGGTAAGAGTGCAAGACAACATAATAAAGATTTAATACCACCTTACCCAAAGAAGTGGCCCTGGTTACATAAGCTAAAAAAGACAGATTTAGGAAGTTTTCAGAAAGTCCAATGTGTCTGATTTCCTCTAGTTGTGGGAAATTTTGATTCTTCAAATTGAGCAGGAACTGTGTTCATAAAACTGCTTGGACAGCGGATTCTTTGGCCCTCCTCCGTCCAGCTTCCAGTCATCATGTGAGTGTGTTACGAAAAAAGTGTGAGTAAATTAAAATTCTGTACTTCAGTGGAAAAAGGAAGGAGGTGCCACAGATGAGTAGCCCTCCACACCTTCCCCCGCTTTTTCTTTTTCTTTTTCCTTTTTTTTACTTTAAGACCCCTTGACCTTCAGTATACCTCCCTTGTCTGTCCATTGTCTCTGAGTCAGGAAATTCTTGGGGACATCACGGAAGCCTGGGGTGGGGTGAGGGATATATCAAGGAAGGAGACCGACTCCCCTGATTGGAAGGGGGATGAGCAGCGCTGGAAAATAACGCCCAGGAGACCCGCAGGCACAGCCCTGGACGCCTTAGAAAGCCCAGCAGTCTAGAAAAGCAGGGTTTAGAGTCACCCCTCTTTGAAGAGGTCTCAGGAAGTTTGGGGGAGGGGCAAGCTGCTCTCTCCTTTTCTAGGGGAGGCTGAGGAGGGACCACAGCAGCAGCAGGTCTCAGAGCTGTCACGCTCCCGCCCACGGGCGGGCTCCGGTGCTCCCCGGCGGATCTGCCGGGCGCAGGCAAGTGGCCGCGGGCAGAGCGCGCCGGCTGGCATGGAGGGACTGGTTTTGCTCAATGCCCTGGCCACCCGGCTGCTGTTTGTGCTGCATTCTCTGGTTGGGGTCTGGCGAGTGACCGAGGTGAAGAAGGAGCCGCGGTACTGGTTGCTTGCACTGCTCAACCTCCTGCTCTTTCTAGAGACAGCGCTCACCCTCAAGTTCAAGCGCGGCAGAGGCTACAAATGGTGAGCGCACCGGGGAAAGGGAGGGTTTGCGATGTCCCCGGTACTATCACCTGGGACACTAGCAAACAGCTCGGTAGTTCATCTACCCAAAACCAGCTGATTCTTTACGCAGATTCACATCCCCACCTCCCCTTTGTGGTATTGGGGAGCTTCGAAAGCGCGCGAGAAGCTCCCGCGTCTCTTGGACATGCAGGGACTAGCTCAGGGTCCCAATGCAACTCTGGGAAATCTCGATCAGTCAATGCAGCTGCAGGAGAGCGTCATCCAGTTCCAGGTTTGGAAATTTGAAAGACTTAAGAAAAGAAGGGAGTCCTTGTCTGCTCTAAAGAAAGTGTCTCCAAAGAGGAGAAACTTGGGGCAAGAAGGGTGTCATTACCCTTCTTTCTGAATTTGGGGCGTGTTTGTGTGCACGGGCTTCGGTGTGTGCATGTACTTGTGAGAATGGCCTTCGAAGGACAGACATCAGTAACTTTTTGCAAGAGCTTGCCGCGCTTCAGGAAGCCTTCCAGGACAAAAATACCCTGAAAGGAATTTCTTTCCTTCCAGCCCATGTAGGGTGCTCTCAGGCATGGCCCCAGCTTCAGGTGTCTGGGATGTGTAGCTCAGGGGCTTAGTTAATAATCTGTCTTGTCAAAAATGATAGCAGTGTTATGAGAGGGACCAGCAAGTGGTGGTTCTGACGTAACTCTACTGTGCAAGAACTGCAGGTACTTTATTTCCTTCCCAGACTTGAATGGCAATAGAAAAAATGAAAAATCAGTTTTCTTGCCAATTACAAAAAAGCTCCACCTTCATTCCTGTAAGTTCCAGTAGATATTCGTCCCAAATTTCTCTAAGTTAAACCTCTTTGTATAGTGTTTCCAAAAAATGACATATACCTCCATATTTTTAAAACATGTAATTCTATGAGAATGAAAAAATGTTATTAGCCAGTGCAAGAATTGCATACATTGTGGTACTGTAGGTACCAATCAGATGCAGGAAACATAAACAAAAACAAAAATACAAAACCTTATTAAGCTCGTAAAAGCTGTTTCATGACAGGTCAAGGAAGAGACTGATCTCTAAAGTTGGTGTTTTCTTAAATTTTCCACTACTGAACATATCTAGAATGTCAGTGAAAAATTCATTCAAGTAGAATCCTTATTTACTACAAGGAAGATTGGAATGTTACTGCCCCTTCCTCCTCACTCCATGACCAGCTGATTAAGCAGGAGAGATATTAGGTATTTGCAGTGTGCCATTTCAGTATTTCAAAGAAAAAGCAGTATTCACTTTCCAAGTAAGTCTTAGGGTTAAAGAAACAGAAGAGAGAGAAGTGCTCATCCAGCAGGTAATATGAGTTAGCTTTTACCTGAAGACTTTTAATATGACAGGTTAGAAATCTCTTTAGAAACATGGGCATGAAGACTGAGGCTGAAAAACATTTCGTGTATCTGTCACCAACCACCAGAGTTTCTGAAACGTCAACTTTAGAAGATGGACCAATTATCCCATCTCCTTGCCAGAAGCTTTCGCTCAGGTTACGTCATAATCCCACTCCAGTTGTATAGAAATACTGTAGCCAAAGGAACTTTACTTGCAGGTTTATATCATCTTTAGCTAATTCAGACTGATGTGTGATTTACAATAAAGGGGGGCAGGCAGCTGCAGCAAGATGGGTGATGGTCAATGGAGAACTGGGGGCAACTTTGTGTTTAGAGTGACAATAAAACTAGAGAAATACTAGTTTCCAGAAGCCACAAGGGGGAGGAAAGTGATGAACTACCCTGTCAATACAGGGTATTTTGGTATAGGGTGAGTGAGGCATGCGCATATATGGGGAGTAAAAATGTACCCCCAAAGTTAGATAGATATGTAAACATTGGCAAATATCTGTGAAAATGCCCTCCATAATTAAAAACCTGACATCAAAGAGATAATGGAGTAAAAAATGGGCTTTCTTACTTATTTGCTATAAAGTGTTTGCCCAAATTATTTAATCTCTCTTAGCCTCAGTTGTCTCATCTGTAAATGCAAATCTCATAGGTCATTAGAGCATTAAGAAAAATGACATATGTTGGTCAATGACTTAAAAAGGATTTTTTTTCCCTACATCATAAGGTTTTTCTTTTTCTTACTGAAATATATTCAATGCCAACTGAACACATTTTAGGTCTGTACAAGCAAACAAATTTCCTTGATGGGCTGACCAGTAAACCGCTAGTTCATCAGTCAAAAAAGTAGAAAACAAACTACTTTTCTTTCAGAAGAGTTCCATGATGTATGTAGTATGTTCCAGCATTAATTAAAAACCATCTCACTGGTTCAATATCTAGGCTAATATTTTAAAATAAGAAAAGCAAAAGAAAAAACGATAGGCTTCATTTATTTCAAAATTTCTGGAAAAGCTGAGTCTTTATAAATGATCTAAATAGAAATGCGATTAGTAATGCTTTGTTTTACCAAATACAACTGAATTTGCAATATGATAATTTTTATGGGAGAAAGTCCACATACTATTGTGTCATAATTTTGAGGAAAATAAAATTTAAAGGATGGATTGTTAAATTAAAAAAAAATCCTTGAGGTAGTATGGTAACAATTTAAGAGTTTGATTTTGAGCTTAGTTCACTTCTGTGATGAAACTTTCTGAATAAAAGCATGATTTTTTATTGTTTTTGAATAATAAAAACATTTCCTTTATGAAATCTAGAATTATGGAATGAAAAAATAAGATTAATATGTATTGATCTATATGTCTGCCTTGATAGCTATAGATACATGGATATACCTCTTCATCCATTTATTGGTCTTGCATTTTGGAATCTGCCTCATAGAAAGAAAAGTATGCCCTATGTGAGTACAAAAATGTCAATGTATATCTTATTAATGGAAAATAAAGCTGAAAACAACCCAATCACCCATCAATAGAATTATTATATTGTTAGAAATATTGTTATATAATTCCACTATAGAATATGTTACTGGTGTTAAAAATAATGAGTTAGATTTTAGCTCCTGGCCTAGAGGACTTCCCATGATTCAGGAGGCTAAAGTTAAAGAATTATGTATATTATGGTCTTATTTAAAAAAAAATCTACTTTTAAAAGAATTACCCTCTGTATCGATTGACTACATCATCTATTCACAATCAAGAAGAAGAAAAAGAAATGATTCCACACTGAAATCAATCAAATAAACCTGAATGGCAGAGCAAGCACACGAATGAGGTAATGAGGTGAACATGCCTTTCCTGGGACATCAGCTCCATGATCTCCTTAGGCTATTTGAGAATAATCTGAACTTTGTTCATTGTTCTTTTTTACTAAAATTTACACCTGACCCCAAGTAAATCATACCTACAGAAATCTTGGAACAATGAACAATGCTATAGAGGAAAATGTGAACAACAACGACATTCTTGAAATGTAGCAAACATATTACACTTGTCCAAAGAATGTTTCTTTTGCTATTCCCTGGAAAGGAAAAATGGAACTAGAGCTGCTGAGCTCAGCTATCCAGGGACACACAACATTACGTCAACACTAGTAATTTGCCAGTGGGAGAAGTTTAATTTGTTGGAATCCTATAGAATATAAGGGCTAAGCCAACAGCACATGCCTTGTTAAATGCAATAAATGTGTGCAAGTGGAAATTACTCCTTTCTCCTAGTGTTTATTTCACCTGCACATTCACTTTTCTATAAAACAGAAATCAGTATCATTTTGCTTTTTTTTTTTCTTCTGCTTCTTCTTTATTTTCTGTGGCCTGGGCAACAATCCAATGTATTTGTGAATTACTATTTAAATCAAAGAGAAGTTACTATTTTCATTGTTTTCCAATTAATATTGATAAAATATTACTCAGGCTAGAGAAAATTGTGACAAGTTTGAAGCCTCTTCATTTGAATTACTGTCATATATATATATATATATATATATATATATATATATATATACACATACTTAAAACACTAAGTTTTCTTTTTCTATCAGAATTTCGAAACTACAGTGAAATAAAATTGAGTCAATAAAATACCTAACCAGTGTGACCACCTTGTGCTTTTTCTTTATTAATTTCAATTTGCTGAATATCCTAATAAAGACGCACAATACTATGCTAGACACTGTGTGATCAAACAGAAACAAGTACACCTGAAATTTTAAAATAAAAGGTAGCATTTGATTAAATGCCTACATGTGTAGAACTAGGAATTAGTACATGTATTTAGCATATGCTGTGCTCAGGTTTATCCAGTGTTCTACAAAGATTATCCCATTTGATCCTGATAGCAGCTATAATTACATTATGTTTCAATTTTCTACCATGTTTAACCAAGAAACTAAGGCACAGAGTTATTAACTCATTTTACCTGGGAATCACTGAGTCGGCAAATGGGAGCGCAGGGACATTAAGACTCTAAGTTCAGCAGTTACAGTTGAAATCTTGAACACTTTACAGGGAGAAGGACCAGGAGTGCTGTGATGGGGATGGGGACCAGGAAGCATGGGGTGAGGAGACAGAGAGGTATAGGTTTTACCCATAGCAGGAAGGATGGGTAGGTTTGATATCAGGAGTTCAATGACTGAAGATAAAAATCCAGGGAGGTGGATATTGAGAACCTTGGTTCTGGAGGAAGAATCGAACTTTATCACTCTTCATTCAGCAAAACCATATGAAATGTCTAATATATTATAGAAATTGTTTAAGGGCCAAGTATATGGAGATTAAAGAATCAGGTAAAATACTGCCATGAAAGAACTCAGATTTTAGTCCTGGGACTTAGAACACAGAGAAGTAAAACTAAAGTAGTGAGTAACCGTAAGAGAAAGCATGTAAACAAACGAGTGATCAGAACTCGGAAGCCTAAGTGGTATGTGGGTCAAGGAGGGATGGAGTATTAGTGGAAGGTTCTACTGGGTTGTCAGAGAGGCCTCATAGGAGAGGTGACATTTGAACTGAGTCTGTGAAAGAAGAAGAGACAGGCAACTAAGAGCTAGGGAGAGGGAAAATGCAAG